TACAGTCTTACAATCTCAAACAGGTCCCGTGGATGGTGATGAAAAAATACATTCTTACAATCTCAAACAGGTGGGTGGTCATGAAAAAAATCATACTCTCTGAAAGTTATAGACACACATGGTGAAATCTCTAATTTATTCACTAAATAGAAAGAAAATAAATTCTAAAGGTGACTGAACATTGTCCTGAAGGTAATGATTAGTCATTGGCTGATATGTTTATTCCAGCATATCCGTCAGCAAGTGTTACAACGAGCTGGCAGCAAGAACCACATGGAAAACGTGGACGAGGAAACCGAGGCCAAACTCGCACAGGAAATGAAAGAATCACGTGAAAAACTCCAAGAGGAAGCCGACGACATAGTAGTAATTGATAAGGACGAATCGGAGGCAACGATACGGAGAGAGCTTGAACAACATCACCATCATCCACAAACTGATCGAAAAGCATTCCTTTCTGAACAACGCGATATTTTGCGGTTGCATCCTGCACACGCGCCTGCCGTGTCAGGGACGTCGTCTGTCCATGCTCCGCTAATACCAATAAACGTGCCAGCGAGGCGTCCTCCGCATCGTCCACTCTCCAGGACCCAGTCCAGTCCACTGGTTACGTTTAATTTCCCAAGGCCATCAAATGCACCTGAACAGCAGGAACCTTTGCCGCTTAGATTCACTACAGGTAAGGACACAGGCGAACAGGCAGGTTTACACACCTTTGCTGATACACATGCAAACAAACTTGAGAGAGAGAGAGACCAAATATAAAAGTGTTTGCTCCTGCACTGAGACAGCTACATGCCACATGTACAAATGCATGCATTAATGCATGCATGCGAGAACACAGGCATTTTGATTTGATTTTAATGTTTCATCTTTTAATGAGTGAAGTCATCTTTTAGCAAGAAGTTTTGTTCTTACAAACAATTCACTTATATACATGTTGTCATCTGTATCTATCTTGATTGCTGGAACTGAAAGCAGAATCTGTAAGGAGCTTTGTACACTTCTTTTCTTTCCCAATCCTTAATTAATATGCATTTATATTTCTTTTCTCCAGTAAAAACCTATGACTTCATCCCCTTTATTTATATGCATTTGTGTATGTTCTCAAGGTATAGTCTATGACACCATTCCCAGTTCTCAATATTTATGCATTTATATTTCTTTTCTCCAGGAATAGCCTATGACACCAATCCCAGTCTTTAATTTCTATTCATTTGTATTTTTTCTCCAGGAATAGCCTATGACACCATGATGTTAAAGCACCAATGTACATGTGGAAACAACCAGAACCATCCAGAGCATGCAGGAAGGATACAAAGTATCTGGGCGCGACTTCAAGAAGCTGGGCTTGCTGCACGATGTGAGGTGAGGGGTGATGTCAGCATTCATCGTGATTGGTCAAATATCCGTAGAATCCTTGAGTCAGTGCAGATTGAGAAAAGCTGTGTTGTCAATTACATCTAAATGTTGTGCAAAAAATTTACTTTAACTTACCATTTTGTTTATGTATTATTTATCATTTAGTGTATCTAAGGCTCTTATATTTGTCTATTAGTGATTTAAAATTTTTAGGAATCAAAATCTCCTTACGTATATGTATTGTATTGTAATTTGTTAAATAATATAGGAAATAGCTGATAGGAAAAAAGAGATATTTGTTTATTTTGCAAGATTAGTCAGATGATGAAAAATCTAAAAAAAAAAAAAAGAAACAAACTGACTGAAAAAGTCTAAAAATTTCAGAAAGTGAAAGCGAGAAAGGCAAGCCGCGAAGAACTCCAGTCATGCCACAGCGAAGTATACACATTGATCTACGGGACAAACCCCTTACATCGACAAAAACTGGATCCTCAGATACTGGAGACTCTGCCTACGAGGTTCTGCATGTTACCATGTGGTGGAATTGGCGTGGACTCCGACACTGTGTGGAACGAGCTGCATACGTCTTACGCAGCCAGAATGGCCACTGGATGCGCCATTGAAACATCGATGAAAGTTGCAGCTGGGGAACTGAAGGTATGGGAAAGTGAGAGGAATAAATTCAATTCTGATAAAAAATTAAAAAGGGATTTGATGTAGAGCTTCTCAGTATATATTGGAAAAATTCCAACTGCTTTTATGTAGTTTTGGCTGTCCATTGTGACAAGTGTAAGCCACAGACTGAATGAGGCTTAATCTTGATTGTAATTGACTGTGTCATATATTACAGAATGGCATGGCCATAGTGCGACCCCCAGGTCATCACGCAGAACACCAACAACCCATGTGAGTATGAAGGCAATGGAGTCTGCAAATAGTCCATTGAAGTATGATGTTCATTCAGGTTAATAAGAGCTCAGTATATGATGTGTAATGTAATGTGATGAAGGTGATGATTTTGAGGAAAAAATTCTTATTGGTGATAAGTTTACAATGGTTTCTCTTTTCAGGGGTTTCTGTTTCTTCAATTCGGTGGCAGTGGCTGCTAAGCAGCTGAGGGAAAAGTTGAATCTCCGTAGAATTCTGATAGTTGACTGGGTGAGTAGTAAATTGCATTTTTGCATGACCCTTTCAGATGATGGAGCATTTATCTTTGAGACCATAAAAAGCTCGGTTTTGGCATGACAGAATTTAATGCCATAATATTTTGGTTTGTTTTGTTTTAATGGTAACAGCAATACAAATGATTTCATGAAACACAGACTAAAAAAAAGAAAAAGAAAAAAAACTGGAATATAATAACAGAATTGAAATTAATGCTATTTACATCTTTTCCACAGGATGTTCACCACGGCAATGGCACACAGCAGGTTTTCTACAACGATCCCAGTGTCATGTACATCAGCCTTCATCGCCATGACGATGGGAATTTCTTTCCTGGCACTGGTGCTCTAGACGAATGTGGCGAGAAGGAAGGCCTTGGTTACACCGTCAATGTCGCTTTCACAGGCAGTTTGGATCCACCAATGAGAGATGCTGATTATATGATGGCATTCAGGTGAGACCTATGTCACATAATAATCCCTCAAAAGTTGTAGTACAGCCCTTTCCCTAGGAAAATAATATTGTTTAGTGGACAGATGTATTTCATTTCAAAGAAAACTTGGTTTCAATTTTTCCCTCTGATGACTTAACTTGTTCACAGCGGGCTGTCTACAATGTCAACAGGGTGTCACATTTCTTTGTGAAGTTCAGATTTCTATTGTTATATTTTACGATGTTGATAAGGTAACAATGTTTACAGCCCATCACCTGCCTTGTTACATTGTCACATTGTAACAATATTATTATCCAATCACATACCTATTCACATTGCAGGACGGTAGTGATGCCAATTGCTCGGGAATTCAACCCGGAGCTTGTGCTGGTGTCAGCAGGGTTTGACGCTGCCAAGGGTCACCCTGCTCCTCTGGGTGGATACGAGTTGTCTGGGGCATGTAAGTTGATTACTGATGTATAGTAAAGCTGAGACGGCTCAACTTAAAAAATGGTATCTCTGAAAAAATTCTGCAATTTTGATTTTACAGTTGCGCTTTCTAATTTTCCCTCTTTTGCCTTTTCCACTTCAAATATTCTTCAATTTATGATAAGTAAAAAGAAGAATGAATTTTTCAATAATTTTTTTAGGTTTTGGTCACATGACCAAGCAGCTCATGACCCTGGCGGGCGGCAAAGTTGTCTTAGTTCTTGAAGGAGGCTACGACCTGCCTGCGATATGTGATGCTTCTGAGATCTGTGTAAAGGCCTTGCTGGGAGACGAGGTAATTCTGTGTGTGTGTGTGTGTGTGCACATGTGTGTGTGCGTGTATGTGTGTGTGTGTGTGTGTGCGTGAATGTTTGCATCTGAGTGTTATTCGCACTCGGATTTCTCAGTTACATGCTTGGGGTGAGTTGATGATAAATATGTTATAGAAGGACAATATACGTAGTGTTGAGTTGCACAGTTTGTTGAAGTCCTTCAAAGGTGTATTTTATCAATTAGTACCAATTCTGCCCTCTAGGTGAGACCTCTCAGCGAAGAGGAGACCAATAGGAAGCCCTGTGAAGCTGCAATAAAGACCGTACAAGCTGCAATCAGTTATCAAGGTGGGTGTATTTTTAGGTGTAAAAATTCCTTGTTTTTTGGAGAGAGAAAAAGTAAATATGATGGCTGCATTTCATGCTGGGTTGCGGCAGGTCATTTGGGACTCTGTCTTATCAAACACTGTGATATTATGATTTCTTATTAAAGTGAGTGAATTGTCGCATTTATTACTGTTGTAGCAGTTGGCAAAAGAAGCGATATCATTGTAGCCTAATATATTTACGATTTATCAGTTTAGTATATGATGAAGATCAATAGCCCTTTAATCACAAACTTAGTAAAACATTATCACTCATGTGAAATATTTCAACTGAAATGTCATAAGTTTGTACTAAGTTTGTCAAAATATTTCACGAGTGATAAGTTTTGACTAAGTCTGAATATGTTCAATTTGTACAATAAAGTGACCCCTGTTGACTGTTACAGCTCGTTACTGGCCAGTGGTCACCAAATATGCGGACAGCATCACCATGTCCATGATGGAGGCTCAGAGGAGAGAGCAACGAGAAAGAGAAGAGAATGACACCGTCTCCGCTCTTGCCTCTCTGTCCATGGTCACTGCCAGAAGGTAAGAGCATGTGTAACCTTGACCTTGATCAGTTGACCTTGACCCAGGCATAGTATTGATCTTTCGCTTGTCATTTTTGTATTTGGAGGAATGAAATACAAAAAATAGCTTTGCCTTTGGATATTAGCCTTACATTTGTACCCAACTTTGTTTGGAAAGTTCACTCTCTGTTCATGATTCAAACCCCATGTAACAGAATTTGAGATTTTTATGAGTCAAGTATCAAACTGCTTATAATAAGGTGAAAGCAGACTTTTTTTGTGAAATTCTACTTTGAATGAGTTATAAATTAGAACCATTGTCACACTTTTTTTCTTAATTTTTTTCAGGAGTGGTGGACTCTCCTCAATGTCATCGACAGAGTCTGAACCCATGGAGGAATCTTGAGGCCAATGAGTGCACATTTGGGGGATGAAATTTAAATTGTATTTTCACTTGTGCAAAGGATGCCTTTTACCCATTGCACGTACATTGTAGTACTTGTGCTGGCACAAAGTAGATGGAGGCAGAATGAAAAGATTTGGGAGCACTTGAAGAATTGACAGAAGAGTCGTTTTGTTTAGATGGTAGGGGGCATGGTTGGGCAAGAGGAGATTGTAAAACAGGATTTGAGACTCTGAAATGTCACTGTCATCAAGAATGGTGTCTTCAATGATGAGCAGCTGATTTTGTATCACTAGCTGACATCCCTTGCAAATCAAAACTTGTACCATCATCAGAGGCATAATTTCAGACACCAGATGTCATTGCTGTCAAGAGAAACTAGAAGGATTACCAGCCGCTGGGCGAAAAGACACCAGATGTCACTGCGTATGAAGGATTCCTCCCCTTTCAGCTGCAGTGGGTTGACCTGGGAAGGCTTTTTCCAGTTTTACAGTCATTCCTATCGAAATAATTTTTTTTTCGCAGGATTTCAAGGATGAAGGATAGAGTAAAGGACTTACTACCTGCAGAAAGATTTTATAAGAAATAATTGTTTTTGAGAATTTTTTCATCCATTGAGGGTTGTACATGGCTGTGCCAGTGTCTCTCTCAGATTCATAACCATAGGGGGCGCTAGTAGCCTATGGCTTGGAACAAGTGTCAAACGGTGCTGTGTGTATGATAATATTATTGACTGCAACATTGTGTAGTCATATAGTAACCAATGTTGTCATCTTGACCAGTATTTTTATATAGTCTTGGGATGCTTTCGTAGAGCATTTGTAATATAATGTATGTTTGTTAACCTATACGGACATCGAAACTTTGAGCAATGTGACATTGATATTTAGTATTTAATTTCTATTTTTATTGGCAAAAACATTGCTTGCCACTGTTATTGAAGAATTTGGAGGAAAATTCCACCTTTGACATTCTAAATAACGATGTGAGAATGATATGTGGACCATATAGGACAGTTAAGAGAAGGAGCTAGTTAAGATAAAAAGTTGTCAAATTTTTTTGTAGATTTTTAAGTAATATCGTGGTCTTCTCCACAAGAAAAACTGTAGAAACAGACAAGACGGATTCCAGTCAAATTCTTTCTTTTCCTTAAATTGTATAGTTCATTGGTATTCTGTGGTAGCAACTACTGTGCCCAATGTTTCAGAATTTTAAAGGTGGGACATATTTGCTATCATTGTGCCATAGGAACCTTGATCTCTGTCCATGTCAGGGCTGTATCTAAGGAAACAGTGGCAAGAACTGGTCAGCAACATTCGACATCCATATTTTAGATAACTTCAACAGAAAAATCGGCTCAAAAATGCAAGTCAATTTTTTTTATCTTTTTTTGTTTCAAAAATTACAAAACTAAATATGAATTATAATTGCCCCTTCCTTGCTTTAACAAATACAAAGATTGGTCTAAAAAGACCCAGTGGACTCCGTTCCCAAAGTCCCCCCCCCCCCCAAAGAGGTGGCCCCTTCTTCAAGTGGCGCCACCTACTGGTGGCAGTGCCTTCAAGTGGCGCCCCCTTCAGGTTAAGCCCAGGGCACCTGCTGTAACTTAGATACTTCACTGTTCCGTGGATAAATGGTTTATTTAACCATTCATTTGTCTAACTGCAGACTGGGTCAGACTTGGTCTTGAATTAACCAGAGCCCCCTGCTGTACATTGTCAGATTTCACAATTTAATTGTATTTTCTACAACGTTGAAGATTTGAATCAGTTTCACTTTTGTAAACAGATTTTGAAGAGAAAATTGAGTTGTTAGTTTCTGTTTTAGAATTCTGGGACGAGTTGAGAAGGGAAATTTATCTGCATTTTTTATGTATTGCCAATATTGCCATTTTATCAATTCAGCCACCAGTAGCATTTTGATGTAGAACATTTTGTCTTTTCTTTTTACGAGATGCATAATTAGGGATGAATTGAGAAAAAGTGCAAGTGGTTTGGTTGAAAACAGGTTTGCTTTGCAGTATATATGTATTATGAGAGCTTGAGTGATCCAAAGGTGATTGTGTTGTGGTATGTCTGAGGTCTGTGGAATAATGTCTTTTAAAACCCTTCAGTTTTAGAGTACTTAAAATGACTGACTCTCTCTCTCTTTCTCTCTCTCTCTCTCTCTCTCAAATAATGCTCTGAATTTTTGAGGTGGATTGAGGTCATCTTCTGGGTCTTTTGGAAGACGGCCAGATTTTCAAGTTTTAACTTTCTGGAAGTAAATTTTGGTAAAATCATTTTAATTGGCCAAGCAAAATGACAATTGATCACAATTAAGCTGTGGGAATTGATTTACCCCCCCCCCCTCCCTCCTTACAAGTTACCTGTATCTATATGGAGAAATCGTTGACAGTACTCTGAATTAATGAAGAGGGTGAAAAGACGGATTTGTATTGAAGGAGTAAATGGGACATTTTACTAACAGCAGCAGCATCCTTTGCATTTTTCATAGCAGCCTCTTTTTCCAGAGTAGATCTATTATTGTTATTAATATTATAAGTATTATAAGATACAGCAACTATTGTTATTACTGCATGTGTAAATTAGAACACATAACGTTTGAAGAATAGATATTATATTTGTATATTTTATCTGTACAAAGAAGTAATACACAGTTATGTATAAGTCAATGCACACCATATGATCTATGATCTAAGTATGAAGTAAATTTTTGTAACTGGCTACAAATTATTGTACACAAAGTATAAAGGATTTTTCTGTAAGTGGCTACGACAAATTATTATGTGTATATTATTATTGAAAGAAATGTATCGAAACTTGATTAATATTGTCAGTAGTGCATTGAACACTTGTACTATTCAATTTGTCTTGTGGTCAGTTATGCCCAACTTTTGGTCAGCCTAGAAGCTGACCATAGCACTATTATTATTATTATATTAAATATGTTGTTATTGCCCAGAAGTGCATACAAATATTACAAACGTAGATATGTAGAGAGAAATATATAATGACAGCACATAGTATGCAAACTACATCTTGAGATATTTTTTTGTTAATTTTTTTTAGGTTGTTGAATTTCAATGAATTATAATGGTGGTGAGAATTTCATTTTATAATGAATGAAATTATGGTAGCTGCAAGTTATATATTTTTTTCGGTAGAAGATTGCTGACTGTCACTGGCAAAGGTTGGTTACAATAACTTGTCAAAGGATATCTTGAGTTTGAGTGCCATCTATTGGTTGGTATAGAAAAGCTGGTTCTGAGGATTTTTCTTGTGCTTGGTAGAGTTGGCAGCAGGTGTTAAGAAAATTTGATATTTCTCAGTTACAATAATGGTTTCTTAAAATAAAAACACTAAAATTCAGAGTTTACTACTTCTGTATTTTAACTCTCTGAGTTTTACTTGTTGTTGGAAGATGCTGTTATTGTTACTTTGAATTCATAACACTTACAGCTGATGGAATTTTTTTCTTGGCATTTCTCACATTTCAGTGAAAAACGTGATAGGTTATGCTGTTTGCAAATGAATGTGACAGTTTATTGCACAGCCACTACCAAATAACTTTAAATTTCTTTTCACTATGTTTTAAACCTTGACCTTCTTACTCGATGACATTTTCCCTATATTTTCGTATCAAAGAAAAGAGTGAATATTTTTTCTAGAATGATAGAAGGACAATGTTTGATGCTCAAGTTTCTGTCTTTCTAGTCACCATTTCTGTCAATAAGGATTGCCCTAGATTCAACACATTAAAAGAAAACATTTCATTTAATTTTTTTTAAATGCTAATTTTTTTTAGCATTTGTTTTTTGTTTAAAGTGATAGCTGAATTACACCAACTTGTAGTATGTCAAGTGCCAGACTGTGGGGAATTCGTGTAGAGGCCTCCGTGGCATCTACTTTGGGTGCTCTTTTAGGTAACATTGCACTACACGTTCTTTATTTACCAATATTGCACACTTCAGGTGCAATACATGAAACGTCAGTATTCATATACACACATGTATGAGTGTTGAACCAATCTGTAAATAAAATTTGTAGTAAGGCCATAGGTAGTGTTGGGCCCCATTTTACAAAGAAACTGGAGTAACAGAATTGTTTTGACTCCGATTAAACCACTGGTTGGACTTTGGTTTTAATTTGAGTGAAACATTTTTAATTCTGACAGTGGGGTGTATTTTGGCACGCAGCTAAGGATTTACCTTTGATGAAAAAAGATGTCAGTTGGTGATGTTAAGGTTACAGTTCAACTTTTAAGTCGAGTTTGTTTGTAAAACGAGGCCCTTGTGTGCTTCAATCCGTAACTCGCCTGTGACAGTCCAGCAATATTATATAACAAGAAAACTTCTATAATTTTGTATTGTAAATTGTTTTTATGTGTTGTTGCAGGTAGAGTTGTTTATAATAATGAGGAGAAACAAGTGAAAATGGGATTTTGTTTGAAAACGTCAAGGAAGATTTGATGTTTTGAGAAGTGAGAAAAATTATAAAGGATATTAAGTAGTTTTGATGTACAAAATGCAGATATTGTGCAGCAAGTAAAGTGACATAATATACTATGGTTGTTTGAGTTGTTTTTAACTTATCATTGGAAATATTATTTCAAAATTATAGCAGAAAATTTTATCTTGCTTCTCCACCATATTTCAGACCAGAATGTTCGAACGTAATTGCAATTTCAAAAAAAAAAAAAAAAAAAAAAACACAANAAAAATAAAGTCAATAGCAACAAAGGGGAATTCCCCTCGACATTTCTAAAAATAGGGTGTCGCCATTTGCAGGAGGCTTGTAAAATCGGTAAGTTACTGAAATTTTTCGAATTTCTGAGGTAACATGTCAAGCACACCAACGTGAACGACAGACATGCAAGTAGTTCTACTTTGGATATCAGTGAGTTGTTAACATCTGGGTAAAAAATTCGTGGCAAGGCATCATAAACATTTGAAGTGTTTGCCCTGATCGATCTTGGAAATTTTGCGTTACTTTCTGTTTGCAAGTGAATGCCCCAATATGTGGGGGCGTCTCGATAGTCCGAAGGTCCATTGGTCCGAAAAGTGGTAACATTTTCATCGATTTTTTAATCAAGGGTTCATTGGTCCGAAGGTTCTATAGTGAACGTTCGGACCAATGAACCTTCGGACTATTGAACCTTCGGACTATCACTACGGCCCCGAATATGTTGTTATGAAAATTTAGATATTAAGTGCTTTGGAATAAAACAGGATATGAATGAAGAAGTTAAAGAAACGTTCACAATAATAATAATAATAATAATAATAATAATAATAATAATAATGTTAGCCACCGGCCATTGGCAGTAAGTAAGGTAATATGATGTTTTTACGAAATTCTGAAGAAAAGGGGCAACCACATCACTGAGACCAAGAGACATATAAATACTAATAGTTGTTCTTGGGATATCAGTGTGCTTTTAACTATGGGGCAATACAATCTGTCCTGCTTACGACTTCATTAAGATTTGGAATAATTATGTGAAATGACAAGTAATTTCTGTTTGCACAAGTATATGAATATGTATGTGAATGTACTCTGGTTGAAAACTCAAGTGACATCGTTTGTAAAAAATATTGGAATAGTACGTGATACTGAGTTGGAATACGTATATAAGTCACATGCATTTAAAAGATGTTCAAAATAACCTTTTAAAGAAGAACGACCTTGTACTTATAAGCTTTGGGACTAATTTTTTGTAGACTTGATAATGAGCGACACACACACACACACACACACATATGAACAGACCAAGGGTAAGCGAGCATGTGTAATAAATAACACATAAACATATCAAGCTTAGTAACACAATAGATGCATGCTCCATTGGACAACAAACGTCCTTGAACTAGATGTTTGCCTTAGTTTATAAAATGAAGTCAATAACAACAAAGGGGAATTCCCCTCGACATTTCTAATAATAGAGAGTCACCATTTGCACGAAGCTTGTAAAATCGGTAAGTTACTGAAAATTTTCGAATTTCTGAGGTAACTTGTCAAGCACATCAATGTAAACAAGAGACATTCAAGTAGGTATACTGGGATATCAGTGTGTTGTTAACATCTGGGTAACAATTCATTGCAAGACACCATAAAGCTTGGAAGTGTTTGCCCTTAGTAATCGATCCCGGAAATTTGACGTTACTTTCTGTTTGCAGGTGAATATGTTGTTATGAAAATTGAGATATTAAAAGCCATTAGATTTTATAGTTGCATTAAGAGTGAATCAGTATATGAAGGAAGAAGGTAAAGATACGGTCACAATACCCCGACCCAAAGAGGGATGGCATATCATAGAGGCCGCAGTAAAAACTCTATGGCAAAGCAAATCAATAGTAGCTAGGCCTACTTTTGTAAATATGTATTATTATATTCATGTACGAGACGACGTTCCTATATTTCTACTCATATAATCTACCTACCGTGTATTATTGTTGTGATTAAAACCATGGGCGTCTGAAAGTTTTCTGGGGGGGGGGGGG